GTTCCTGGCGCGGATAGACAATTAGAAGGTGTAAAGTGAAGGAACAACCGAATGAATGAACCAGAAAACGAAAGAATACCTTAGTTCTTCTTCGAGTAAGTGCCTGCACAGAAGCTTACCCTTGTCCAAGTGATTTTGTTAAGACTACATAATCCAGGGGGCGCCTGGGTGGCTCAGTCGGTTAAGCGTCCGACTTCAGCTCAGGTCACCATCTCACGGTCCGTGAGTTCGAGCCCCGCGTCGGGCTCTGGGCTGATGGCTCAGAGCCTGGAGCCTGCTTCCGATTCTGTGTCTCCCTCTCTCTCTGCCCCTCCCCCGTTCATGCTCTGTTCCTCTCTGTCTCAAAAATAAATAAAAGCGTTAAAAAAAAATTAAATATCAAAAAGACTACATAACCCAAAAAGTTACTTTGATCCAAGAGCCTGATAATTATGAGTGTGTATTCCCATGTCTTTTTCTACGTCATATAGAGATAGGTACATGTGGTACCTATATGGGATCCCATTTATGGAAAAATGATTTAACTATGTTATATGATATGTATATTCTACATGTTCTATAGATTACATAACACATAGGTCCACCAATATACATCACCCTAGAAAAAAAGTACAGAGTATATTTTTTCTGCAATTTGCTTATTTAACCACATACCCTGAACGTTCTCCCCCACTACCACATATAATCTGCCTCTTCTCGCTAACAACTACATATTATTTTCGAAAAATAAAAATTAAAGTACTCACTCTTGGTGGGATACTCAAATAGTCTAAGAATGGCAAGTAGAAATCACTGGATCATAAGCACCTCTTCCCACCATTGCCACATCTCCCAGGCCAGAAGGATGTGGTGTCCAGATAAGGGTGAGTGAGGGGGTATTCGTGAATGGACAGGAGCACACAGCAGTGCGGTGAGAGGCACAGGCTCCCGGGCAGGAGAGAGATGTGGGGTGCAGCCGGATGAGAGTGAAAGAAGGGCAACTAGGAAGAAAAGTTGGGGAGCCTAGGGCTGGGTTCGTCAGGGAGAGCCTTGAGAGGGTCAGAATATGGGGAAGAAAGCTAGAAACCACCCCAGTCGGGGACCGGAAGTCGAAAGACAGAGGGGCTCTTGGAGCAGAAGAGAAGCATAATGGGGGAAGTCCTTCCATCCCACGAAGAAGGTGGACAATCTGTCTCCCAGTGGTTTTCCCACCTGGCTTTCCAACACCCAGGAGCATTTGCCTGTTTCCGAGTGAGACGTGTTTATCTCCATTCTGGAGTCTCAAAGTTCAAAACAAACTTCCAAACAAAGGGACCCTCCGCTCTGCAGTTTTCGGCTTCATTCTCTTGCAAGGACAGAGCCAAGATTCTGCTTTCCTGATGACTTTCACAGCCAATTCCACCGGGAATCCCACCCCCAGCTTCCTTCTGCGTCTTTCCTGGCTGCCTCCGATTGTTGTGGACATCCTCACGGGTATAGGTTTTTTTTTTTTTTTTTTTTTTTTTTTTTTTTTTTTTTTTTTTTTTTTAGCTTCTTTTAACTCTTTTCTTCCTATCTTTATAATGATGCAGGAAAAATAAGATTGTTTTCCCAACAGCAATTTGGGGCTGGTAGAGTGGACCAAAGTTCTCTCCAAAGAGCTGGATTCATCAGCATATATTATTAAAAAGAACCCTAGACAAGAAGAACCAATCAGTCAAGCTCCCTGTAGTTGGAAAATTCTGAGACATATTTTTATGGCCATCACTCCATGGAAAAGCCCAACAGGTTTGCATAAGTAGAAAATGACAAGAATGTCTCTGAGGGCAGGTATAAGTGAGGGATATACTAAAACTCAGCACACGTCGTGTTCATTTGCTAAGCATTACACTGAGTATTTTAATACACACAATAATCCATGAGGTGGATACCATATTAATGTCTATTCTACAGATGAAGAATTTGAGGCTCATAGAGTATCTCACCCAAAGTCACATAGATACTAAATGACGGAGGTAGGACTGAAAATCAGCCAGTCTGGAAATGGCTCCCAGACTCTTAACCAAGCCACCATTGGGTTTGCCTAATTCATGCTTTGCTAACTTAATTATTGTCTACCACCCCTCTTCCAAGTAGGAGTTATGCTCCAGGAGAGCAGGTCCTTGTCTGTCCTGTTGTATCCCCAGCAGCCAGCATGGGGCCTAGCACAAAGTAGACACTCAATAAATGCGTACTGAGTGAATGAATTAATGAATGAATGCTATGGTTTTATTTGACGATATCCTGTTATCTGAAAATTTCTGAACATTGAGGCTTTGGGTGATAACTAAATATGTTTATTGAACAGTCCTATTAATTTTACCTATTTAACTTACCTGACCCTGCTCCCGGGGCGGGGGGGACAAAACTTTTCCAAGCATTAGAACCTAGCAAGTTACATGAAACTTAGGAATTGAATAAGGAATTCTAATCTGAAAATTTAAAGAGAAAGTACATGCAAATTTAAAGAGATCTTTTGGAATCGTGTATTTAGTGATCACTTTCTATGTTTTCAAAGCTGTTCCAGGCCTCTGGCTTTTTCAGTAGCAAAGGTGGTCTATGAACCACCTGGGATACTCATTTCAAATGCAGAGCAAGAAAACCAGGAAACTGGGAATCTGCATTTTGCGACCATCTCAGTTGGTCTGACATAAACAGAACTTTGACGCCTGCTGTGAGGAAGTTAAGGTTATTCTCTGCCCGTTGGAAGAAAACCCTAACAAGCTACCAAAATGCGTTTCAAAAACTGCTGACCCTTTGATTTATCTGATGATTCCTTAAGGACTGTGGCGTCTTGGGATCGTGAGCCATATCAATTTTTTTAGTCCTGTATAAGGCAGGAAATGTTGTATTTATCTGCAAGATACTCTTTCCCTAGTTTTGAGCAGGTGGTCACCTACCGTTGCCCTGACATCCCGGACTCCTGTGTACTGATTCACTCTCACACGGAACCAAGCCAGGAGCGAGGGGAACTGGTCCAATTCCGCCGTGAGATGCTGCGTGTCCAAGGGCAGGTGGCTCAGCCTCGGTGACCGACTGTTTGCACGTCCATAAGCCTGGGGTGTGAGTGTTCCCCACGTTTTGATTCTACACATGCTCAAACCAGAGTCCTTCTATAGACAGGGATCAGGGAGTCTCCCAATCTTGTTTTTCTGTACTCAAAAGTCATGCTTCTGTGACCATGAATTAAGTTCAGAAGGTGACAGAAGGAGTCAGGGGACTGTGAGGAACCCCACCCCACGGCATTACTCACGACCAAAAAATCAGAATATAGGTTTCTGTAATCCACACCCGCAAGAACTAATTACAAAGGTAATAATAATAATACTTTGGGCAAGAGTCAGTTGGCCATACAAAAACTGGGGGAACCAGTGAGGTTGAGCCGGGAGGCCACATACCTGCCTTTGCCACAGATGGGGAACGACCTCAGGGTGGCGATTCCCAGACCTTCTGCTCTGAGGGCTGTACAATAGTAGATCCAGAAAAGACCTGGGGCATTCTGTCAACAAATGTTTACTGAGACCTCCTATGTGCCAGGCAATATTCTGGGGATGGGGGGCCCTATGGTGAACCCACCTGACGAGGGCCATACTCTCAACGAGTTAAGATTCTAGTGGGGAAGGGAGATGATAAACAATTGTCCCAAATGAATCTCATAAAGGGGGAGGGAGGAACACATGTGAGGAGGCTGGTGGAACCCATCATGTCCACCCACTCGGTCCAACCGCCACCTTACACACGTGAGGAAAATGAGGCAGAAACAGCAGTGACCTGCTCAAGACCAGAGTCCACGGAGCAGGTTAGGAGTGGAGTTAGGAGACGCCTGGGTGGTTCAGTCGGTTAAGCGACCCACTTCAGCTCAGGTCATGATGAGCTCACCGTTCGTGGGTTCGAGCCCCACGGCTGGCTCTGTGCTGACCAGCTCAGAGGCTGGAGCCTGCTTCGGATTCTATGTCTCCCTCTCTCTCTGCCCCTCCCCTGATCGCGCTCTGTGTCTTAAAACTAAATAGACATTTTTGAAAAATTTAAGAAGCAGAGTTGGAAGTGAAAACTGTCTTCCTACAAAACCCATCCTTTCTTCACAGCCCCTCCCAGTGACTGCTTTAT